GACAACTCCAAATGTCCCCAGACAACACCCTGTCTCCTCTGGGGGCACCCCTGGCTGAGACCCATTGGGTCAAGGGACTGCATATTGCAACTAACGGTCATCTGCCCTGCTGAGGCCCTAAGAAGCTGGCCACAGTGACATCCATACACTGAGTAGGCAGGGACACACTGGCCAGTTTCAAAAGCAGAGACCCTGGTCACTAGTGTGCCCTAGTAGGAGTGTGTTCTGCTGTCTCTGGGAGCAGGGAGTGCGCTTGATTTGCGATCTGTTTCCAGTAATAAATACAGGTCTCTCCTCTGGGTGGGCCGTGCTGGACACTACAGGGTACAAAGCAGCGTCCCTGGCTCCCACCTGCACCACCTTCGGCTGGGAAAACCACAGGCGGCCCCAAGGATCACCCAGTGTTCCCTGGGGGACAAAACTGCCCTTGATTGAGAAGCACACTGGTCTAGGGAGAAGGCAGACAAAACAAATAATCAGACATAGAAACAAAGACAGGAACGCTACTCAGCCTACGGGATTCAGACCATCTTCCGCTGCCTCTTCTAGCAAAAATACCCAGTCTCCAGCACGCACTTAGCTAACTCCAAGCACCTCAGAAATGAACACGTCGGGGGCATTAACTTCGCAGAGACCCCGCAAGGCACAGACCTTTATATCTCCTCTTTCAGGGTGCAGAAAAGGAGCGCTCGGGGAACGGAAGGGACTCGCTCAAGCGTACTCGGCTGTCAAGCCCGCTCGAGCCGGTCCTCACCCCACTCTCCCCCACCTCCGGCACCACATGCACAAAGCCCGAAAACTGAACTAAGACTGTCAACGGCTAAGCCTTTGGGCTTCCCACTGTGCGCTCGGCGCTGTAGGCTCCTACGCCCAGGGAAGGACTGATACACCCGTTCTAGAGGAGAAACGGGGCTCTGAGCAGACAGGAGGCCGGCCAAGGGCACCGGGAGAGGCGGCACTGCGCGGGCGCCGGGACAAGCCCGGTCCCCGGGTCCAAGGGACCGTGGTTCCAGCAAGCTCCGATGAACGACGGCAGCTACGCGCCGGGTGCTTTTACCACCTGTGGTCCTTGTCACCCACACGCGAACTACCATTGTTAGCGTTTGAACCCAGGGGAGGGAAACCAGAACCCGCGCTAGACGGCCCGACGCCTCCCTGCCTCAGTTTCCCCTTCGCACCGCCCACTCACAGGACCGCCAAGGGCGCAACGACTCCAGCTCCACACCTATTTCCTTTTACGGACTCCTGAGAACCGTAAGCTCTGATCCGTTGATCCCAGGCCCACTCTGCTAGGCGCGGAGCCCCCCACTCACCTCTCAGGCGACAGAGTCCCGACCCACCGACGGCTGCGCCTGCGCACCGCGGCGCCGCTCGGCTCCGCCTCCTCGGCCGCGACGCTTGCGCAGAAAGAGCCCACTCCGGTTTGTTTTTGTTCTGCGCAGGCGCATCCATGACCGACCCGCGCATGGGAGGAAGTGACGCATTTAGAGGCGGGAACAAACTGGTTGTTGAGGCAACTGACCTCTGCCACCTGATAGAGGCCGGAGATTAGGGTTCATGGAGCAGTGCATGGTGGGACAGTGGTGGACTCCAGCTGGTCGGCTGAATCACCACGTGGTATACAGATGGCCAAGTGGCCTGCCTGAGTCTGGGTACCTGGGTTGTGGAGTGTCACAGGCACTCCATTAGCAGGAGTAGCTGTTACCCACTTAATATCTTTGTTCATTTATGCACCCACCCGTCCATCCACTCGCAAATGCATTAATTCAACCCGTAAAATGTAAAACTGACGTTTATATACAGCAGTTGGCTAATATTTAGCAAAAATTTATGGCAAATCAAACATAAAGAGCCGGGGCTGGGGATTTAGCTCAGCGGCACAGCGCCTGCCTGGCAAGCATAAAGGTCGTGAGTTCGGTTCCCGGTACCGAAAAAAAAAAAACAAACATAAAGAGCAGCAAACTACTCTCATTACTTTGTGTTGGAGTAGAAGGGTTAAACCATCACATAAAGTAACAAGAAATTTCTGGGCCAGGGATATAGCTCAGGGGCACAGCGCCTGCCTGGCAAGCTCAAGGTTCTGGGTTCAATTCAATTTCGGGCACACACACACAAAAACAAAAAAAAAGGAAAAGAAAGTTCACTTTGTGGCAAACAGTATTTATTCTAATTTTTTTTTTTTTTTTTTGTACTGGTTTGTACTGGGAATCGAACTCACGACCTCATGCTT